AACATAAGAGACATGTCTTAGCACACACACACACACACACACACACACACACACACACACACTCGCACACACACACACACACACACACACCACACACACACACACACACACACACACACACACACACACACACACACACAACAGTAGTAGAGTAACATATCTGCAGGAAGAAATTTATATTCTACTGTACAATACTTTACTGACGAACTCACACACCACAGGACAGGAGTGACCGCTACTGACGGACAACAACAAGTGCTCTACGATGTCAACAATCACTGAGGATAATCTTGATATCACTGGTAAGTTATATCACAAGGCATAGTAATGGTTGCTGGTTGTCGAGTGAGTTGCACCGCCACTACCCTACCCACCACCAACCAATCAACTATCATAAACTGTGATGGTTGCTGAGGACGCCGGGAAGAGGAAGAAGTGTAGTCTAATGGTCATTTGTTATTGCAATCGATATGATCTAACAGTAGAGAGTTATTGATAATACAGTGTGACCATCACTGTTTTTGTTGAGTTATGTTATTTTAGAATAAGTAAACACGCACTCCAGAGAGAGAGAGAGAGAGAGAGAGAGAGAGAGAGAGAGAGAGAGAGAGAGAGAGAGAGAGAGAGAGAGAGAGAGAGAGAGAGAGAGAGAGAGAGAGAGAGAGAGAGAGAGAGTTAATTAATTTACTTATTATTAATTAATAATATAAATACTATCAGGGCGACTGGACAAGAGTATGATGAAGGTGTCAAGGTGTGTCAGCCAAGTGTTGGAGCAGCCCACCAACACCTACCTGTGGTCGGCCTCACACGAGTTCCTACCATAAATATACATTCCTCGTACCTGAACACGCAAGAATGCATTTACTGCTTGACTTAACCTAAAGAATAAACATAATATCATATAAAACTAACACCAAAACCAAACTGAGATTCAACCTTAAGCAGATAAGTTCACACATAGCACCAGTTAGTAGATAAAGCTAAGGTCCGGGATCTTTCATAAAACATCTTGTGCCTTAGTTCAGTCTGGCCTCAAGTGAAAATATCTTGTTTAGGTTGAGTTTCGGTATAACCTTACATTACATTTTTTTTTACTTTTTGTTTTTAAGTTAAGCAAAATTATGGCAGTCAGGTGCATTCCTACAGATTCAGCCAGGAGGAATATTCACGGTGTCAGACCCAGGACAGGTGCAGAACCACACTACCTCCTGGAGACGTTACCTCGGCACCAGGTGTGATCCTGAACGATATGATTCCAATTTGGAGGTTATTTTGAGAGAGAGAGAGAGAGAGAGAGAGAGAGAGAGAGAGAGAGAGAGAGAGAGAGAGAGAGAGAGAGAGAGAGAGAGAGAGAGAGAGAGAGAGAGAGAGAGAGAGAGAGAGAGAGAGAGAGAGAGAGAGAGAGTAGTGAAACGAGGCATGATGGGACCCTAGAGTGTGAATATAATCAGACACAGTATATAGTACAACTACAGTCTACATCAACTGACTGATAGACATTGACAGATAGACACATCCGATATGTTGATCCAAATCCTCATTACTTGGTGAAAATTCAATAAATGTATATCCTGATTCCCCTTGTATGACTGTCTGTCTGTTTTTGTGGCTGTGTCTGTGAGTCTGTCTGTGTTTGTCTTTTGTCTGTTTAACTATCGAATGTCTATTACCTTCAAACTTCCCAATTTGTTTCCCTGACGTCATCACTACAGAGCTATTGTGTCTTGATCAGTCCCAGGTGTGTGTGTGTGTGTGTGTGTGTGTGTGTGTGTGTGTGTGTGTGTGTGTGTGTGTGTGTGTGTGTGTGTGTGTGTGTGTGTTTGTGTGTGAGAGAATAATGCCTCAGTAGGTTGCTGCTGACCAACAGAGAATTATTTCCTTCATATTATAAATGTTCATCAAAGGTCAAGGTCACAGAGAGGTTAAGGACGAAGGTTAATGTTCTATACAAGGCACTAATATACATTATAATAACTAACTACATTCATAAATTTACTAAATGATATTTTTGGCTTGTGTTTACTTGGCACCAACACCCGTCTTCCCTTACTTGACTGATGGATGATTATTTCTTAGTTATTCACTCACTCACTCACTCACTCACTCATATCAGGGCCGAGTATTCTCTGTCATTTTAACTACTTCAAATGGATTATTAATTAATTTCCACTTTTTTCCTTTTTTCGTTCATGTAATTAATTTTGATTTGATGTTATTTTAATGATTTCATTATCTCTAATCTTGTGTGCGGACACACACACACACACACACACACACACACACACACACACACACACACACACACACACACACACACACACACACAGAAAAAATATTAAACTACTTAATAAACAACAACAACAACACATACATCTATATATACACTACATCACTTAATTACTGTAAACAACACTCGTTAAAAATAACTTTAAAACACTTGTGTATAAAATGTGTTACACTGGCCCCCCAAAATATACACCGCTGCCGGATCCATTCACCGCATATAAAAACACCCACAATGGCCGTTCGGTTACCATTATAATTGAAGCCTTGGTAATGCAGGAACACGGGTGACAATAGTCGGTGTTGAGGTCGTCCTGCTGCTCACTCAGTCCAGGGTATTTATAGTACAGAAACAATGAATAATTATATGAATTGGTGCCAGGAATAGAATATGTGTACGTTCGTGTGTAAGTAATTAATAGAATACGACTTGTGAGTGACTACAGGTACAGAGCTATGATTGAAAGATAGTAATAGTAGTAGCAGTGGTAGTAGTAGTAGTAGTACCCCTTTTTACACCTTGCTCCCACTATAATTCAGTTTATTTTGAACAGAGTTCAAAACTCGAAACAATTAAGTTTCATTCGAATCAATTCCATAAAAACGAAATCTTTGAAACAATACTCGAGACACGCTTCATAACAGTTAGATAAAGTGTGTCTGTACAGACATTTAAAAAAAATATGTGAGTCAACAGGGCAAATATTTATGACAGTGATAATATTACAATATATACACGGAAACATTATCGAAAACGAACTGTTGCACTGCTAGGAGACTGTTTGAGAGCTTTATGGGTTCGAATACCATAAGACACCCATATTCATACCTACGGTTGGCACCTGGATAATTTAATATGACAATGTATTTTGGTGATCTGTCGGTGTAATATCTGCAAGTCTGTCCAAGTAATCTGATGGAATGTCGATTTATAATGAAATGGTGTCAAAGGTAACGCAGGGGTATGGTGCAAAATTTTGTCTATATATCATAAATTTTAGTGGGAGTAAAGTGCAAAAAGGAGTAGTAGTAATAATACTATTACTTAAAGTAGTAGTAAAAGTATTAATAGTTGTAGTAGTAAAATATTAGTAGTAGAAGTAAAATTAGTAGTAGTAGGAGTAATAGTAAGAGTAGTAGTAGTAGTATTAGCAGTAGTTATGACCCATGACTGAGAGATAGCAGTAGTAATAGTAGTAATAGTAGTAGTAGTAGTAGCAGCAGCTATGACCTATGGATGAGAGATGGTAGTAGTAAAAGTAGCAACAGTAGTAGCAGCAGTAATAGCAGCAGTAGCAGTAATAGTAGGAGCAGTAGCAGTAATAGTAGCAGCAGTAGCAGTAATAGTAGCAGCAGTAGCAGTAATAGCAGCAGTAATAGCAACAGCAGTAGTAACAGTAACAGCAGTAGTTATGACCCATGAATGAGAGGGTTTAGTGAGTGAGAGTGAGTGAGAGGGAAGAGCAGGGAGAGTATTGATCACACATCCTGGCTGACAGATCTCTCCCTCAGCTGACTACTGTTGGTGATGCTGTACTGCTTGTTGGAGATGGTGTACTGCTTGTTGGAGATGGTGTAATGGTTGTTGGAGATGGTGTAATGGTTGTTGGGGATGATGTACTGCTTGTTGGAGATGGTGTACTGCTTGTTGGAGATGGTGTACTGCTTGTTGGAGATGGTGTAATGGTTGTTGGAGATGGTGTAATGGTTGTTGGGGATGATGTACTGCTTGTTGGAGATGATGTACTGCTTGTTGGAGATGGTGTAATGGTTGTTGGAGATGATGTAATGGTTGTTGGAGATGATGTATTAGTTGTTGGAGATGATGTCATGGTTGTTGGGGATGATGTAATGGTTGTTGGAGATGGTGTCATGGTAGTTGGAGATGATGTACTGCTTGTTGGAGATGGTGTAATGGTTGTTGAAGATGATGTAATGGTTGTTGGAGATGATGTAATGGTTGTTGGAGATGATGTAATGGTTGTTGGAGAGGATTTAATGGTTGTTGGAGAGGATTTAATGGTTGTTGGAGATGATGTACTGCTTGTTAGAGGATGGTAATGGTTAAGATAGTTGTTGGGATGGTGTAATGGTTGTTGGAGATGATGTAATGGTTGTTGGAGATGATGTAATGGTTGTTGGATGATGATGTTATTATTGTTGGAGATGGTGTATTGGTTGTTGGAGATGATGTATTAGTTGTTGGAGATGGGTATGGCTGTTGGAGATGATGTATTTGTTGGAGATGGTATTGGTTGTTGGAGATGATGTATTAGTTGTTGGGGAGATGCAGGGAGGTGGAGATGATGAACTAGTTGTTGGAGATGGTATTGGTTGTTGGAGATGGTAATGGTTGTTGGAGATGGTGTATTGGTGTTGGAGATGATGTAATGGTGGTTGGAGATGGTGGTTGGAGATGGTGTATTGTTGGAGATGATGTATTAGTTGTTGGAGATGGTGTATTGGTTGTTGGAGATGATGTATTAGTTGTTGGAGATGGTGTATTGGTTGTTGGAGATGATGTAATGGTTGTTGGGGATGACGTAATGGTTGTTGGAGATGATGTATTAGTTGTTGGAGATGGTGTATTGGTTGTTGGAGATGATGTAATGGTTGTTGGAGATGGTGTATTGGTTGTTGGAGATGATGTAATGGTTGTTGGAGATGATGTAATGGTTGTTGGAGATGGTGTATTAGTTGTTGGAGATGGTGTATTAGTTGTTGGAGATGGTATAATGGTTGTTGGAGATGATGTAATGGTTGTTGGAGATGGTATTAGTTGTTGGAGATGGTAGTTGTTGGAGAAGCAATGGTTGTTGGAGATGGCGTATTGGTTGTTGAGATGATGGGTTGAGGTTGATGATGACTGGTTGTTGAGATGATGTAATGGTTGTTGGAGATGATGTATTAGTTGAGATGATTGGTTGTTGGGGATGATAATGGTTGTTGGAGATGGTGTATTGGTTGTTGGAGATGATGTAATGGTTGTTGGAGATGATGTAATGGTTGTTGGAGATGGTGTATTGTTGTTGGAGATGATGTAATGGTAGATGGTGTATTGGTTGTTGGAGATGATGTATGGTTGTTGGAGATGATGTATTAGTTGTTGGAGATGGTATAATGGTGGTTGGAGATGGTGTATTGGTTGTTGGAGATGGTGTATTGGTTGTTGGAGATGGTGTATTGGTTGTTGGAGATGATGTATTAGTTGTTGGAGATGGTATAATGGTGGTTGGAGATGGTGTATTGGTTGTTGGAGATGATGTATTAGTTGTTGGAGATGGTATAATGGTGGTTGGAGATGGTGTCTGTTGTTGAGATGGTATAATGGTGGTTGGAGATGGTGTGTTGGTTGTTGGAGATGATGTGTTGTTGGAGATGGTATAATGGTGGTTGGAGATTATTGGTTGTTGGAGATGATTGGTCTTAGTTGTTGGAGATGGTATAATGGTGGTTGGAGATGGTGTATTGGTTGTTGGAGATGATGTATTAGTTGTTGGAGATGGTATAATGGTGGTTGGAGATGGTGTAATGGTTGTTGGAGATGATGTATTAGTTGTTGGAGATGGTATAATGGTGGTTGGAGATGGTGTATTGGTTTTTGGAGATGATGCATTAGTTGTTGGAGATGACGCTACACACCCATAACCATCAATATACATCACCACCCACACCCACCAACAGCATCACCCACCCACACCACCACACCCACCCACAGCCTCGCCCACACCCAATCCACAGCCTTGCCCACACCCACCCAAACACCACCCACACCCACCCACAGCCTAACTCACAACCACCCACAGCAACACTCACATCCACAGCACCACCCACACCCACCCACACCATCATCCACAGCACCTCCCTGCCCACACCCACCCACCCCCTCCATCCCCCACACAGCACCGCCCACACCAACACCAGGAGGTCAGGGGGGAAGGACATAAGCTTACCTCAATGGCCAGAATTTAGATGAAAACTTTGACAATGTAACTATGTATTGTTGTCAGGGGCTATCCTGTGTACACGTGTGTCTGGTTATTCTTTACCTCCTCTTCATACTTACACACACACACACACACACACACACACACACACACACACACACACACACACACCTTAGGAAGAAATAATGTCTCCATATATCTTGGACGGTCACGTTACTGTATCTCAAGGTGATACTAATTTAAGCAACGAAAGTGAAAGAAAACACGTAAAGCAATGGATAAAAGTTGAAGCTTTATGAGAGTAATAGGGAGATAAGAGGGGAGGAAGAGAAGAAGAAGGAGGAGGAGGAGGAGGAGGAGGAGGAGGAATTGAAGAAGATATGGAAGTGAACGAAATACAAGTAAAACAATGAATAAAAGTTGAAGTTAAAATAAGAATAGAAGAGGAGGAGGAAGAGGAAGGTAGAAGAAAAATCTTACAGGAAGAGAAGGCGGAGGAGGAGGAGGAGGAGGAGTAGGAGGAGGAGGAGGAGGAGGAGGAGGAGGAGGAGGAGGAGGAGGAGGAGGAGGAGGAGGAGGAGGAAGGAATTGAAGAAGAAATGTAATAAAGAGGAGAATAAATACTAATAATAACATACTGTTTAAGAAAAGTACAACACACACACACACACACACACACACACACACACACACACACACACACACACACACACACACACACACACACACACACACACACACACACACACACACACACACACACACACACACGCACGCACACATTAAACCAGCTATTAAACAGGAAGATTTAACAAAGATGAAACTACAAAACCTAATAATAATAAAAATAATGAAAACAAATATGATAATCAACAGAAAACGACGAATAATGGCTGAGTAAAAATGTGGAGAGTCTGTAAGAAAGGAGGAAGAAGCAAGGAGGAAGGAGGAAGGAGGAAGGAGGAAGGAGGAAGGAGGAAGGAGGAATTTTGGGAAGGCCCTAAAGACAATCGTAGCGTGACTGATAACGAAGTGGAGGAGAGAAGGAGGATGAAGGAGAGGTAGAGGAGAAGTGGAGGGGAGAGACAGAGAAGAGGTGGAGGAGAGAAGGAGGATGAAGGAGAGAGGAGGAGAAGTGGAGGAGAGAGGCAGGGAAGAGGTGGAGGAGAGAAGGAGGAAGAAGGAGAGTAGAGGAGAAGTGGAGGAAATATGAAGGATGAAGGAGAGGTAGAGGAGAAAGGGAGGGGGAGAAATAGAGGAGAAGTGGAGGAGAGAGGGAAGATGAACGAAAAGCAAAGGCAAGGGAGACGAAGAAGACAGAGGGAGGAAGAAGGAGAGGATAAAAGGAGGAGACAGGTAGGAGCAGAGGAGAAACAGAGAAATAGTGGAGAGGGAAGATGAAGGAGGGGTAGAGAAAGAGAGAGAGATCAAAAGAAAAGGTAGAGGAGAGGTTGAAGAGAAAGAGAGAATGGAGGAAAGGCAGAAACAGGGAATAAAAGTGGATGAGAAAGAGAGGATAAATGTGGAATAAGAGCAGTGGAGGAGACACAGGAAGGAAAGGTAAGGGAGAGAATGAAGATGAAGGAAACACCAAAGAGAAAAAAAAGAGAGAATTAAAGAAAGAAGAGGAAGAGGACAACAAAGAAGAAGAAGGAGGAGGAGGAGGAGTAGGAGGAGTAGGAGGAGGAGGAGTAGGAGGAGGAGGAGGAGGAGTAGGAGTAGGAGGAGGAGAATGAAGAAGTGAATAAGGAATAGGTGAAAACTGAAGAGTAGGAGGCGAATGAAAATGAGAATGAGGAAGAAGTAAAAACTGAAGAGAAGAAGGAGGAAGAGAGAGAAAAAACTTATGGATAACGAAAAGAAGGAAGAAGGGAGGAAGAAGAATTAGAGTAGGGAATAAAAACAAAGAGGAGAAGGAAAAGAAAAAAAAAAGGGAAGAAGAGGAAGAAATGGAGACGGAAGACAGAAAATAATTTGAAGGAAGAGAAGCAGGAAGAGATAAAAAATGAAAACTGAGGAGAAAACAGAAGAAGAAGAAGAAGAAGAAGAGGAAGAAGACTAAAATATTAAAAAAAGAGCAAAAGAAGGAACTAAGTAAAAAGAGAAGACATAGTGTGAAGGTGAGAGAGTTGCCTGCATTATTGTGAGAGTTGGGGAGAACGGAGGAAGGAGAGAGGGGGGAGGACGAGGAGGTGAAGGAGGAGGAGGAGAGAGTAATAGTTGGAAGAGAGAGACAGACAAGAGATATAGCGACGGAAGATGAGAGAGAGAGAGAGAGAGAGCAGATGGTGACGACATTGAAGGTGATGGAAGCATCGTGCAGGTGTCCTGGTCGGCTCGGGCGGCCCTGCTGCTGCTCTGCCACCCGCCGCCACCCTCCACCATGTAGCCACCCTCCACCATGGTCGCCACCGCCACCCTCCACCACACCGTCGTTTCCACCACCACGCTGCCGCCAACCCCCCACCACGCTGTCACTGCCACCCACCACCACGCTGTCACTGCCACCTCCACCACGCCACTGCCACCTCCACCACGCGCCACCCTCCACCACGCCGCCACCGCCACCCTCCACCACGCCGCCGCTGCCACCCTCCACCACCACCACCCTATACCACACGCCATCAGCCTACACGAACACTCCACCATACTCTAACATAACGCCTCTACCACCGCCCACAACCTACCACGCGATTTCTCAACATTACTATCTACCACCACCTATCAACCATCACTATCACCATCACTACCACTACCACCATTACTACCACCCTTCCCCCACTCATCACCACCACTACCACCATCACCACCACTACCACCATTACTAACATTACCCTCCTCCACTCATCACCATCACTACCACCATCACCACCACTACCACCATTACTGTTACCACCTTCCCTCCACCATCACCACCACTACCACCATTACCCTTCCCTCACTCATCACCACCACTACCACCATCACCACCACTACCACCATTACTGCCATTACCCTTCCTCCACTCACACCACTCATCCACTCATCACCACCACTACCACCATTACCACCACTACCACCATCACCACCATCACCACCACTACCACCATTACCCTTCCCTCCACTCATCACCACCACTACCACCATCACCACCACTACCAGACTTGTAAAACACTATAATAAGCATTACCATCATCAACCATGCTAAGCGCCACCACAACTACCGCTCAATATACCAAGCATTACAACCACACTGTCTGAACACGTTCTAAACACTCCCATAACCACAACTACCACCAAACACTACCACTACCACAACTACCACCAAACACTCCCATAACCATGACTACAACAACCAACAAACACTACCACAACTACCACCAAACACTCCCATAACCATGACGAACACCAAACACTACCATAGCCACAACTACCACCAAACACTACCACTACCACAACTACCAACAAACACTACCACAACTACCACCAAACACTCCCATAACCACAACTACCAGCAAACACTACCACTACCACAATTACCAACAAATATATAACCAGGGCACACACACACACACACACACACACACACACACACACACACACACACACACACACACACACACACACACACACACACACACACACACACACACACACACACACACACACACACACATTGAAATTATCAAACTTTACATAAATAAACTTAATAATAATAATAATAATAATAATAATAATAATAATAATAATAATAATAATAATAATAATAATAATAATTCCTTAAATAAATATAACTTAAGATTTTTTACAAATTATCACTTCACTCAAATTCATCTTAATCATTTCAGTAAACATTAAGAATAAGTGAAAATGAGAGCAGACAGCAACAGGCCACCAGCAGACAGCAACAAGCCAGGTGGAGACAGCAACAGGCCAGGTGGAGACAGCAACAGGCCACAGCAGACAGCAACAGGCCAGGTGGAGACAGCAACAGGCCAACAGCAGACAGCAACAGGGCAGGTGGAGACAGCCGTCATTCACCTCCCCCCCCAATAAAGGGACCGGGAGGCAACACGTACTACTATGAATTAAAAACTACCCACAACGACACCGCAGAACCATTTATGTTTCAAGCGACATGAACCTAACCAAACCTCCCTACCCGACGGTCCTAACCAAACCTCCCTAACCTTCACCCCACCTACCCGACGGTCCTAACCAAACCTACCTAATCTTCACTCTACCTACATCACCTATCCGTCGGTCCTAGGGGAAGGGGAAGGGTGGGGATGGTCTTGGTTAGGTTGGGCTCAGATTAGGATTTGGTAGCTCGCGTTGTCTGCTTAGAAAATTAAGGAAAGATGGATTTAGTGGTACGGTTGGTGGGTATCTTTCCAGGTTTCTTTACGCCATTTTCCTCTGTCTACCCAGCAGTAATTGGGAACCTGGATGTTAATCGATTACGCAGTTCAATTCTGGTCACCGTATTACAGAATGGATATAGAATCCTTGGAAAGAATTCAGAGGAGAATGACAAGGCTAATCCCGGACATTGGGAACCTTGACTACAGAGACAGGTTAAAGCATCTTGATTTGCACTCCCTCGAGAGACGCAGAGTGAGGGTCGATATGTTATAGGTGTATAAATGGAAGTCAGGGCTCAACAAAGGGGACATTACAAAGGTACTCAAACTGTCCAACCAGGAGCGAACTCGTAACAATGGTTTTAAATTAGG